CCAAAAAAAAAAAAACACAACACACAATAGTTGATTGATCACATTCGGTGGTCACTGCGAAGAAGAAACTGCGTTTAGCTGCTGCTGCTGCTGCTGCTTCTTTGTTCCACAGTTCCGACCAGGTGAGTTCTCATGGATTTTGGACTAATTCGATTCGGAATTCATTTCTTCGTTAAAGAAATGAGATTAGTTCTGATTTTGAATTCGATTTCTTCATTTGCTTTCTCTTCGTGATTGCTCTCCACTTGTTCGGCGAATTTCCTCAGTGGGGTTATAGTCTTTTCCTTAGTTTCCGTCTAGTTTCTTGGCCATTGCCCATGTTCTTCCTCTGTTTAATTTTCGTTTTCTTCTCATATTGCATTGATTTGTCGGAATTCAACATTTCCAGATAATGGGTTAAGTAGTCGGTTTCAAACATCGGGAATCTGTATGCTTTTATATCGGGTGCGTTCATTTTCGAATTGTAGTTCTTTTCAATGGCAGATTTTTGCTTCTTTACAGTGGGAAACCAATTGGGTTGAATCAATTATTAGAAAAAGTTCGAACTTTTCGTTTGTGTCTTAACACTCCCAACTCTTCCAAGATTGTAACTTTAGTTTATAACATCTGGTTTTCCAATTCATTTTTCCGAATTCTCGAAGGCAATAGACCCACAATTTCAACATGGCAGAACTAAGCCTCGGTATGCTCATAGACATCGTGGACGAGGAGTGGATGAGGGATACTCTCCCTGATGATGGTGACCATCTTGTTTTCGCACTCCCAATCCCTGATCCATATCGTTGTATCTCCCGGCTCCTCGCTTCAGTTCGTCTGATCGTATTCTACGTCTTTGCAGATCTTCCATTGCCGCCAGTGCTTGCAGTTCGGACAGATGATACTGAAGACGCCAGTATGTTCCTCATTTGATCACTATTTATGCTATTGATTTCTGTACAACTACTGTTTGAATTGATAATTGTAATCCTGAGATGCTAATCCTGGAATGATCTAAGTCGATGTTTGTGTTTATTGATTTTGGTCGAAGAACCAAAAGTGACACCGAATCCTTTTATTGTATCATCTCACTCACTGTTTAGGTTTCAGATGCCGTTATGTTTAATATACATATGAAGTGATGACGAATGATTCTTGTGGAAGAACAAAACTTGTACCGACTTGACTAACTTTCGATGACACGATGCATTTCAGATCAGGAGACTCAGCAGACGGATGGCGATACTTGGCATGACCTTGCGCTGGATACCCAGTAAGGCATTCGGGCATCTGATGCATCTTTTCCTCGAGAGTGTCTTTTCGGTAACAGGAAGCGGGAAATCGGAAGCTTTTAAGTGTCTTTATCTCGTTGTATCGTAGTTTCTCTAGACCCAAAAGTATGAGCTGAGAGACTCTGTATGGTTGTTATTATGAGGACTGGATGCACTCAAAATGTTTAACCTAAACCAGAGTGTTATTACCTGTTTGCTTCACTTTGTTTCTACGGAGCTGCTGTCTAGGATTTGGATTCTGTCGATGAGCCATGTTTAGGACCAAACTGCATTCAGATCCTCTGGTTGAATTGGCGGTTCACTTGATGAATGTTCTGGTTTGGGAGTGATCTTTCAGCTTATAGCATTTAGTGGATGAACCTGTGTTATTATTGTTTTCCCGTCTATCCAAATTTGATTAAACCTGAAATTTGGATTTATTATTTCATTTGGAGCTAAAATAAACAAATATATTTCCGTGGTTATTTAAAAAAAAAAGAAATACCAAATCGGACAAAATTGTAAATTAGGTTCGGTTTAATCTCCGGTTTGGTCGTGCCTCGAAAGAGTAATTCATCGCATTCCCGTGTTGTAAAGCGCGTGTGCCTGCGCCTATTCTCGTGTCGTTGCGACTCGTCATTGCTTCTAGGGTTTCTTCTCTGCGATTCTTCATCAACCAAGAACCCTAATCCCTCTCTGTTTCTTCCTCCCCTCGTTCGATTGCCTAATTGAAGCCTTCAATCGCGTTGCTGCTACCTAAACACTAGAGAAGCCCTAGTTTTTTGTCCCCTCATAACTGTCGGATCGGGATGGCTTCTGGCCCATTACCAGGTGTCGGAGCTTCGAAGGCGAAACGTAAATGGAGCGCAGGAGGCAACAGCAAGAGCCAGAACCGGTCGAAGCCATCTATGGCGGCGAGGAAGGAACGGCCTGTTCCGCCTGTTTCTCCGACAAATTCGATTGCGTCGGAGGACGATCACCACATGGTGGAGATAAGTTTGAATTCGATCTCGAAGCTTGAAGTCAGGAACTTGAAGAGGAAACTAAAGGCTGAGCTTGATGAAGTACGGAGCTTGATCAAGCGGCTCGATCCTCGTGGTGATGTCGACGGAAGTTTCGGGGGCATTCCCAGAGCTGATGATAGCAATAAAAAGATGAAGACCAGCAATGGCGGTAAGAAGGGTGGGTTTGGTACGGACAAAGGTACAGTAATTCAGATTTTCGAAAACTGCAACAATTTGCTTACGAAATTGATGAAGCATAAGTTCGGATGGGTTTTCAAGGTTCCAGTGGATGCCAAGGGGCTTGGTCTGCATGATTATCACACCATTGTTAAGAGACCTATGGATTTGGGTACTGTAAAGACCAGGTTGAGCCAAAATTGGTACAAATCGCCATTGGAGTTCGCCGAGGATGTGAGACTTACTTTTAACAATGCATTGTTGTATAACCCGAAAGGGCATGAGGTGCATCACATGGCAGGGCATTTGTTGAAAATGTTCCAAGAGAAGTGGGTGGCCATGGAAATGCAGTGTGAGAATCTTGATACGATGAACAAACAGACCCGTGATGTCGAATTCCCTATTGTAGATCCATTACCTGCTCAAACTCCTTCCATGTCTTCGCCTCGGATTGTTGAGAATAGGGCTCTGGACCGAGCAGAATCAATGACAAATCCGGTTGAACCCGAAACAGTTACAATGGTCTGTGAGAAGCCAGAAGAAGAAGCTTCTGGTGAGAGGGACCTGACATTTGAAGAGAAACGGAGACTGAGTGAAGACCTTCAGGACTTGCCTTTTGACAAACTGGAGACTGTTGTCCAGATCATAAAGAAGAGGAACCCTGAACTCTCTCAGCAAGATGACGAGATTGAACTGGATATCGATAGTCTTGATCTCAAAACACTTTGGGAGCTTTACAGATTCGTGACCGAGTACAAGGAGAGCTCGGGCAAGAAAAAAGAGGATCATGGGTTTGGTTCAGAAAGAGACGCAGAATCTATTCACGATATTAACCAAGAACAGGTGAGCGCCCAATAACAAGTTGGTGATTCAAATCATTTTTTGGGTGGTTAATATAATCTTTCTCCTTTTCGATTCACAGAACAAGCTTGCAACTGGTAGTGGGACATCAAGAGTTACTGAATCAGGTGAGATTCATTTAGTTTTTCAAAAGTCACGTCAGTTTCCATTAGATGATTCTTTACCTAGAGATGGCACCAAAGAACACGATTCAAATGATTCTTCTTGAATATGTTGTACAATTGAAACAGGCAGAGCAACACCTACGGGAGAAAACAACGTTGATGGATCAAGTAGTTGTAAAAGTTCTAGCAGCGATTCGGGCTCTTGTTCTAGTGGTAAGAAGCATGGAAGTCCTTTTTTTCTCTCCCTCTTCCCTTATTTTCAGCTACAATTCTGGATTAAACACTGAGCCTTAATACCCATATTTTTCTTTTTTGTTTGCAGATTCCAACAGTGGCAGCTCCTCAGGACATGGATCTGATATGGGTAATTAGCCAACACGTGAAAACACTTGGCCTAGGATTTGCTTGCTTGTTAACCCTGTCTTTTCATAATGATTCATGTGATAGGCCTTTTAACTGTACATAAAATGAACAATTTTTAGGTAACTCGCTTTGTGCTTATCAGTTTGCCCAACATCTTTGTAGCCATTGAAGAAGAACATTAGTATTAATTTTATCTTTGTGTTAATGATATCTTTACATATATAATGTAAGCAAGTGCGATGGGTGTAATGTTCTAGAAGGCTGATCCGGAAAGGGATGAGATGGATAAAGGAGAGTGGACAAAATGTGAAAGGGGATGACGTGAGAGGCATGGACTGACCCCAACATCTACATTGGGAAATGTGAAAGGGATCATCATTTAAATTTGTCCCGATTATTCATCCAATCCATAACATACATGTATATATAGAGATATCCAATCTCTAAGATCAGAGGAGGAGGGATATCAATTATGGCAACGTCTTCCTTCACAGCTCGTGGTGCTCACACCATGAACACCATGTTCTCCAAGTAAGTTCTCCTCCCCAATCTTTGTCTCTCCCCACAAAATCTTCAGCTAATATAAACATTATATATCTACACACATACATATATTCTCAACGTAGAACAAGTCTAATTACAATGATAGGCCGATGCTGAGGAAGTCGATACACAAGAAGAGCGCGTCACACGATATAGCGCGAGAGACGGCGAAAGCAGACGGAGGAGGAGAGGAGATGAAGACAGCCGTCGGATCTTCATCGTCGGCGAGAAGTTGGGTGCCTCACGAACGGACAGGCATCTACTATCCCAAGGGACAGGAGAACGTCCTTCAAGATGTTCCTCCTCCTCCTCGTACCGAAACGGATGATGATGCCGTCGTTAATTGGTTCTCCTGATCGTATTGGAAAAATCCATCCCACTTTTTTTTATAAAATTTGTTATTATCATCATTGTGGGTCGATGCATAGTGTATGTGTTATTGTGCCTTTGAACAAAATAATGGTTATATATCATATGGATCGGCTTGTAAGTGTATGGATATATATTAAAACGCCCAAATCTCTTTTTTTTTTTTTTGTGAATCGCTCAATATAAGATAAACAAGTTTCCATATTGTTCTAGCAAAAAATTATTATTGCAAGTATTAATAATTCTATGGAAAATGTTTGGGTATTATTTTGGATTTTATCCATATTTTTTTTAAAAAAAAACATATAAATATCTAAATTTTTATGAAAATCTCAACTATAAAACTTTCACGTAAATATCTAAATTTTTAAAAATCCTATATAAATATATAGACTTTTGAAATGTTTTTAAATAAATACAAATTTTAAATATTTTTTAAATAAAAATAGGTGATGACATTAACGAATTTTGGATTATTTGGGAGTTTTTCAGAGATCTAGATATTTATATAGAATTTTAGAAAAGTTCATATATTTATATAGAAATTTTATAGTTCATCTAAAAGTTTTTATAAAAATTTAGATATTTATATTTAATTTTTTTTAAATGGATGATTTTTTGGATGATGATGATGACGAGTGGCACCATCCATGCAACAATAACGACAGATTTTTAATATTTGGTTACACCCTTCTAGGAAACTAAATAATTAAAGATGATATTGTTATTTCAATAAAATATATAAAATATTTGCTTATTTGATTATGGTAGGCTGGTGATTTAATTATTCTTTTCCCGTGGCAACATACATACATACATACATACATATTTCGTGATATCTTATGTAAGAAGTTGCATGGAGCATGCAGCATCAAGTGTCTTTAATACAATGTGGCTGGAATCGTCAAGTGTTGTCCCATGCATGGACCTTGATTTTAGCTACTAATCATTTTGATTATTTATAAAAAAACAATAGAAATACCAAAACGAACCAGAATTTCAGAAGAAACAGAAAAAAAACCCCAAACTTTAATCTGCACAGAAAAACCCTACTCAAGATTACATATTCAAATAGATTATTTTTAAATATTCGATGCTATTTTTTTTGTTAGTATTTATAAATTTCCGCTTTTAATTTCATTAATTTTGAAAAAAACTTGGAGAGGATAAAATCAAGAAAAGACAAGAACCGCTTCAAACTCTTCTTGTTCCAAGAACCACAAATCAACTGCCAAGCAAAATGACAAATCAAATGCTTCTTTATTGGGTTTCTGTTGGGTCGTAGAACAAATGGCTCTTCTTCTCCAAATCCAAAGAAGCAGAACAAATCAAAATCTGAATCAACGCAGACATCTTTGAGTTTCGGTTCTGTTTTTCTGTGGGAAAAATGGCGCTTTCCAACATATCTGTGCCATTCCAGTTTCCGCCATTACCATCTTCATCCTCCTCTTCCTCCAATTTCAAAACTTTTTTCTCCCCCAGTAAGCTCTTCCCGATCTGTTGTTCAAAGTCTCCATCTTTCTCCGCCGCCGACAAGGAAGATGACGGCGGAACCGCCGCCGCGAAGCCACCGCGGAGACTGTCGGAGCAGTCGTCGTGGGAAGCCAAGGATTCCGAAGGGAAGGATTATCTGTATAGGCTTGGTGCCGAGGCCGACAACATTAACATCACTGTCGGGGCACGTGCCGGCGTTATCGATGACCTCTTCGTCGGAGATTTTCTCGGCAAGGATTGTTAGTATCTGGCTATTCGTCTTCTGGGTTTTTCCTTTTCTCTTTCCTCTTCTGGAAATTCACAAACGTGGCCTTCGAATCCATTGATTTTCTGTGTTATCATTTCAAAGATACCATGTTGCGACTGTTTTATTTGTCTGCTAGTAGATATTGTGATTTCTCTGGTTCTCTGACAAAGAAAGCCAATGTCTTATTTCATCTCCTGTTTTTATTTCTGTTAGTTTCTTGTCTTGACGAGTTTCTGATTTTGATTGTTAAGACTGAGGAGCTGTATTCTTGTTTCTGCAGCCGATATCGTGTTTGATTACCGACAGAAGGCGACAAGGTCGTTCGAGTATCTTCAAGGAGATTACTACATAGCGCCATTGTTCATGGTAAGTAACCTTGTGAAGAACAAGATTTCTTTCTGTGACTGTTGTAGAACCTGTCTTTCTTGGATAAGATTCTGTCTGGTCTTCTCTGATGACGAGTTACAAGATGGGTCAGAAAACTTATGTGGTAGCTTTTGGTTTGCAAGCTCTGGATCATGCTCCTCTCCTCTATGTGTAGAGAGATATGAACTGATGATCATCTGTTCCTTCTGGTGTTGGTGTTGATTCTTCTGTTTCTTGTAACCCGAAATCTTGTGCGTGAACTTTTTCTGTACGATCTTATTTCGGATAATTTTCATAGTTTGTTGATTCTTCGCCACATGCTTTCGAAACTGAATTTGAATCTTAGACTGCAACGGTTATGAAAGAGTTCAATGCCCTTACAAATGTTGTTTCCTTTGGACAGGATAAAGTTGGTAAGTCATCTCGAACTGAGCCCTGATCAAGGTGCTCCAAAGGAGGTTTTAGAGAAAAAAAAGACAAGCATTTTGATCGTATTCAGACAAAGGCCTGGAACTTTATCATCCGGGCGGTTTTCCCTCTTTGTTGTTATGTTTCTGGAAATTAATGTTTGCATTTGCTCGTTCGATTACATAGACTGTACATTCGGTTTGATTGTTTCCTGCAGCATGCCACCTTGTGAAGAACTACCTTGCTCGTCTTCTGAACATTAAAATCCCATTGGTATTAGGTAATGCATATACTTCCATCATCAACTTCTTTCGGATCCTTTACTTTTCAGCTTTATTTTGTGAATTTACTTCTCTGTGATTCCACTGGATAAGGTATCTGGGGAGGTAAAGGACAAGGCAAGACGTTTCAGACTGAGCTTATTTTCAAGACCATGGGAGTGGAACCTGTAATAATGTCAGCAGGAGAGTTGGAGTCGGAAAAAGCCGGTAAATTTCTATGCTTATATGCATCACAGAATCTCGAATAATCGCTTAGAAATCTTTCTGCTTTTTACTAAACAGGAGAGCCGGGAAGACTCATACGTGAACGCTATAGGACAGCTTCACAAGTCGTTCAGAATCAAGTTAGAAACTTTATTAAAATCCTTCAATCTCCCTATACTTATATGCTATATAACGTTTTCCAGCATTGTTCCTCCCCATGAGCATTCGTTCTGGTTCATATGAAAGGCAACTCAAAACGATATTCATAAACACATCGTGTGTCATGATAACCATGTCAAGACATACTACTATGATAAGATTTAGATACATTAGTTATGTGTTACAGCCTGTTGTCTGACTGTCTACTTGCTTCATAGGTGAAGTATCAGACTGTTATCTTTATGGGATTGCCCATGTGGTTTTGAATTTGGTTTCAACTGATGCAGGGAAAGATGAGTTGTCTCGTGATCAATGACATTGACGCTGGTCTTGGAAGATTCGGTAAGCCATGATCATATCCAGGATAGGTTAAAGCTTGGATCTATTCTTTCAAATCGTTTGGTTTCACTGCAAAAGAAAAGGTCATCAACTGAGTTTTCTCTACTTGTTCAGGGAACACGCAAATGACAGTGAACAATCAGATAGTTGTAGGAACACTAATGAATCTTTCAGACAATCCGACGAGAGTGAGCGTTGGACAAGACTGGAGACAAGCCGACATTACACACAGAGTTCCTGTCATTGTCACCGGAAACGATTTCTCCACACTCTATGCTCCATTGATCCGTGAAGGAAGAATGGAGAAGTTCTACTGGTAAACTAATTCCTATCCCCATATACATTGGTCGATCACTGTTGAAAAGCTGACATCTTTGGATGTATAACAGGCAGCCAACCCGTGAAGATATCGTTAACATCGTTTCCAGAATGTACGAGAAAGATGGAATCTCTCGGGAACATATCGTAAGCATCGTGGATCAGTTTCCGAATCAAGGTACTTGCTCATTTGAATAAGAACACAACACAAATCAGTTGGGCCAAACTTATTACAGCAAAAAGACCATATTTTGTTTTTGGGGTTCTCATAGCTTCCCTTTTTCTTAGCCCTCGACTTCTATGGAGCCTTGAGGTCACGTACCTATGACAGAGCTATTCTCAAGGTGCTTCACCATTTTGTTAAGTGTTTTTACATGTGAGTCAGAGATTATTACTTGAAAATTATCTCAAATACCCGAGCTTTGGATATACGACCAAACTAGATCCAAAATCTGGTAATATCTCCTGAGACTTGAAATATTCGGGTTTGGATTCGAATAACCCGAAAATCTTGGATATCTGATCCGTGCTCATCCTATGTTTAGTGCGGATCAACATGCAAAACTCTAGATACTAACCGAAACCCGATCTTCGATTCTCTATATTCCACTGGATCCATGGAGGTGTTCATAGAAAGCTGATATTAACATACTTTGTGCCAAAAACGCTTTTTGTTGTGACAGTGGGTAGATGACGTTGGAGGAATTGACAGTCTTGAGAAAACGCTTCTCAGACGTAGAAACACTGAAGAGCTTCCTGAGTTCATCCCTCCTGAGGTAATAACGGAGCTTTACACAAAAACATGACATATACCAGTCTCGTGTTTTATTACATTACACGTGAGTCTGAGATTATTACAGTAATTGTTGTAATGTTTGGTTTTTTTCATTTATTACGATATGATTTGAAACAGCAAACAGTGGAGGCATTGCTGGAATCAGGGCATTCTCTCGTAAGGGAACAGCAACTCATCATGGAAACTAAACTTTCCAAGGAATACATGAAGAACATGGATGATTGATTACCCTACAACACTTTCTTTTTTGTATTTTTCAATTTTTTTTTTACTTCCAATGGACAAAGATTTGATCTTTCCTTCAATGGAAATGGAAAACATTACACCAAAAGAACATGCAGGAAGCTAGCTACCACTAGACATGAACCTAACCCGGAATGGTGCCAGAGAATTTACAAGGCTGAATATAAAGTTTTACAAGAAATGGCACCCAAAAGTTTCTACCCTTTAAAGATTTACTAACATCACAACAAAAAAGTTATTAAACTCATCAACCAGATTCAACCCCTCCAAAAAGCATTTCAGAAAGGCTTTCTTCCCACCTTGTACTCTACTACACATCATGTGTCCTGACTCTGACAATAGAAACAGTTCAGCCATAGTAGTGTCTGCATCATGGAGTTCCTTCAAGATCCAAGCTTGCATCTTGCAGTTGATTAAAAAAGCCTTATACCCGACCTGATGAACCAACATACTAATACAAACGTTAGAACATAATATGTGCAAATACAAATAACTGACCCGACACACTTATACCCGGCCTGATCATGCATCGAGTTGTCAACAAACACGGAAGCAAAGACACTTATTACAAACCCTTTGCTTCATCAACATGTAAGTGCATATAATTTCAAGAAAAGCACGCATAATTCAATAATTTACTATCTTTTGTCGGGGAAAATTCTCCTATTCTTCAGAAGAAGCCCTTCCGATGCTTAAAGAATAACCCACCAGCTAGCTAAGTCACATACTATCGTGTTATATCCTACATGAAATGTACGTGTTTCAACTCAATAATATAGTTAATGAAATCTTCACGGGGAGTTACCTACCAATAGCAAGAAGTGCTCTTTCCACTGTTAACTAAATGAGCCGCGGCACTTATCATATCCACACAGACATTTTCTCTTCCCACACACAGAACTTCCAGCTCCAGTCCCGTTTGTACAGGAAAAACCGTAATCGTAAGTCAACTCAGTCAATGGAGGAATATGCCGGATGGCGAAAAAAGCAATGTGGATAAACGATTCCCCATTGCATTCATAAACAACTGGCTGCCATAGAACATTGGGACTGCAACTATGATTCATAAACCGAGCAACATTCCCGAAACTCTTGGCACTGATAACAAGTGGTGATGGAAGATCAAACTCCTCTAAAGTCTCCTCTGAAGTATACTCCTCCACCAGTGCAGGTTCATAATTCCATCTAAAAGGGTTATATGCCCGAGATGTGTCGAAAATGTACTCATCTTCTTCATCTTCCTGACTTAGCTTGGCTTTGTCTTTGAGCTCACCAGCATATTCGCATATGAAAGAACCAGCTCGAATAGGATCCCACGAACGTAGACCCCACCCACGATTCTCTGTCTTAAACACTTCCAAACGGAGTTTCAATCCTGTCTGGACGATCTTGCTTTTGCAACTGGCATTACACGGACAGGTCGGACCACATTCATATATCATCGGCCTTCGAGAGACTAGAGTCCCGTTAACATAAGGGAGATCACCCTCATTTCTCCGGATGCAAGAACAGTTAAGATTTCCAGGTGCACATGAGTTACGACAGGTGCAGGCAACTGTCGGGTGTGTTGGTCTGAAGGATTCTGAGTACTTTAAGGTTGAGATATAAGTGAAATATGCAGGCCCCCTATCGTCATCCACGTCATTTATAAGCGAAACAGGTACACTTTCAGCTCCCGAGGTGAGATCCGGAAGGATAAGCCCTGTTCTCGTGATCAAACCCTCCCTCCACTTCTGAACTGATTTCCAGACAGCAAAAGCAGGTGGCTGGCCCGGTAGCCTCGCCAATTTATACTTGAACGTGTTGCAGCCAGATTTTCCCTTCTCTACCCATGATTCTTTGATCGAGAAAAGCCCATCATATATATAGATCTTTGTATTTTGACTAGTCACATCTCTTACTCCTCGTATGACTCTTACTGTATTGCTATTCCTTAAGCTTCTCTCTAACGCGAGATTTCCCCTTTCAAGTTTCTGATCAGATGCTTGCCTGTTCTTGTCCGCATTACCACCCTGTCCGCTGTAAATTAAACTGTCAGGATCCTCGGCATCATCATCATAATGTCCGGATGAAACAATGCTCGTTGCTAAAGGATCTTCTTCACTCCCACCCTTAACAATCAAATAGTCGATGCCAGCCATTGTCTGCATATGAAGACCCACCAAACACATCTCTATCCGGAAATAGAAGATATCGCCCACCTCAACTCCAGGAACGGACCCGACTCTCTTTTTCATATTTGTGCGGACCCCTCTGCTCATCAAAGCACCCGCCGATTTAAAAGTTGCGTGCTTCGCATCTAATAATTGGTTAAGCCGCCTCTTGACTGCATCGAACCGTGCCAATACGCTAAGAACGATTTCCCTATTTCCATCTTCTCGTTCTGCTACGGTGATCCCACTGTCAAAGTTTTGATTAGAGCTTTCCTCCTGCCTACTGGCAGGTGAGCCGGGCCCCTTGTTCACAGCTTTCTTCTCCTTCTTCTTCAAATTGGTTGAGCCCTTTGGACGGCCATATCCTCTTTTAGATCCACTGAGGCCGCCCGAGCTGCTGGGGCCATTTGATACTGTAGGTTCTCTGAATGATCGAAGAGGTGGAACAAATGCAGGAGATGGGTTCTCGGTCTGGTTGAGATCTGGAGTATAGTGCGATGATTGGGAAGCTCCAAACGGGAAAAATGGTGAAAATCCGGAAGTGAAAGGGCCGAAAGGAGGACAACACACAAATGGAGGACCTTGATTAGCATTTGGAAAGACGGGTTCCAAACTGCGAAGAGGCTTCACGTCCAGCACTCTTGACTTGTCAATACGGTTAGAATTCGGTACAGTATTGAGCCCCGGACCTCCTCCCATAGCAAACTATCGTGTCAACGGAATAAAACAAGATAATCAAATTCGTGATCAGGATGAATCTTAGAATAACAAGAAAACATCACAGAACTTTTTTTTTAATCACACACCTATTTCACAAGCTGTTGGACAAGATAAATGTCACAACAGGAGCACCATTTTACGGAATCCCACTCTCAGATACACCTCATGGGATATACTGCAGCAGCAAAAGTGAGAAGCAAAGTTACAATGAGACAACCATAACGACATGTCGGAAATTCTACAGAGGTTTAAGCTATTTCGAATGCTGTAAACGATTCAGAAGACATCTTCTTTCATAATAAAAAAAAATATCAAAAGTTTTTTTAGTACAACATGAAAACCAAATTCACAATAGCGAATACATAACAACAATTCTGCCCTTTTATTCCAAATTTCTAAGTCATGGTCACCCACTAAAGCAAATAAAAGCACATAACTGAACCCTAAAGGAGGAACTATCTATAACCCACAAGATGTTAAGTGCTTAGGCTAATGAAGAAAATTTCTTACTTTCACATCAAGATCCCAACTTTATACAGATTCGTAAAGAAGAAACTGGTTCACGAAGCATCATACCTAACAACACAAACCCCAAAATCAAGCACGAAGAAAAGACACTAACTTCACCTTCACCAACAGAAACAAAAAACACATTCAATCCAAAACAAATACCCAAAATCTCTCAGGGCAATACAAAAAGGGATCTTCATTCCAATTTCAACAGGAGAAGATCGAAGCAGAAAGCAAGAAATCGAATCATCATGTACCTTAATACGAAGAGGAAATGAGAAACTACCAAACAGGGATCCAAGAAAACGAGAAGCTCGACAAGTGAGGGCAACGGAAATGATGAAGCAGCAGAGAAGGTTTTCGCAGAGCAGCAGAGCTCAGCAAGAGAGAGAGAGAGAGAGAGAGAGAGAGAGAGAGAGTATTTAAAGCATTTGACGGACGCGTGCTGACATAAAGCACGACGGGTTCGTTTCTAAGCGTATGGACCGTTGGATCATCTTTACGTCATCTCCACCGTCCATTTAAAAAAAGGAAAAAAACAGAAAATGCTACATTTGTAGTATAACATTAAAGACCTATGGATTATATATAGTAGTAGTTTCCTTCCGCATTTATTTACTAATTATGCAGTAATTTTGCATTTTTTGGTCTTTCAAAACTTTAACAAATGATATTTTCATTTCATATTATATCTTAACATGCACATCCATTTTTTCCTGCATGAAGAGACCCAAAGGCCATTGGCCCATTGACAAAAAAAAAAAATCTTCAACAATGACTATTATAAGGTTTCATTTGGATTCCAATTTTGGCTGATTATAGATTTTTCGATTTAATGTATATATATATATTCATTTTGGAATATAATTTTTATTAACAAAAAGTAAGTATTTTTAAATGAATGCTAATTTTGTTTTAGTTTTTTTTTAATTTTTGGTTAGAAATGTTTAACTTGATTTAGATTAAAAATATTTTATGAGATTCAATTCGCATATTATTGTGTATCTGTCAATTCCGTTCGATTGTGATCGTAATTGAGTGTGATGATGACTTTTGAGGGTGAGAGTGTGATATTTTCTACATTATAATCTCACAAAATATCGGATTGGAATGGAACTGGGTACGCCGGATGACGTGGCATTGCTCCTTCGTCACCGTCCGATGTGTCACCTCCTCCATTACCCGACGTCTCCAGACATCAGTGCTGTGTTGTGTCGGGAGTTTCTTTTGTTCCTTTGCACATTCTTATTCTCGCTTATCAGATCATAGAACTTGTCGCTACCTCTTCCCTGATAGATTTCTGTGTTCGAATGTTTTCCTCCTTCGACCCAAACCGGTTCGAATTACGACGGGTATTGGGATAAAAGATTAAAAAAAAGCCTCTTTTTCCTCTGTAATTTGAATTTTGCCCTTGTTTGTCGCAGCTCTCGGCTTGAATCCAGATCCTCGTTTTTCCTTCTCTTAAAGCCCAGAAACTAGAAAGTAAAACAAAAAAAGGTGGTATCTTGCTATGTTTGATGGGTACCCATTTGGCCATTTCAGCGAGATCATAGAAGAATCCAAGAGGGCGAAGAAAGGTGCGAGCTTTGGATATTGAGCGACGTCTGAGAAGAAAGAGAGAAGGGCAAAAACTCAAAAAGTTTCAAAATTTTTGGTGTGTTGAGTCGGTTTTGGAGATGAACGGGAGCAATGGGGAAGATCTCGTTCACGAGATTGCAATGGTGGTTCCTAAGAGGGTTCAACGGGAAGGTGGAGGCGAAGAAGAAGAAGGAGGAAACTGTGTTGAGGTTTTGGTGGATGAGCTGAACAAGAGAGGTTTGGCCATCGATAGGGTTGTCGGTCTCACAGATGAGTTTCTCAAGGTCTGTCCTTTCACCATTTCACCAGTAATTTGTGCATTTATATATATGTGGCATATGGAAGTTGCGTTTCTGAGATGTCACTGCTCTGCTTCTGTGTGTTTCTGTTCGTGGGTTCCTCTCCATGTTCCTTTTCTGGTCGAGAAACATGCATTTGACATAAAAAAAAAAATGAGTGCAAGTTTCTCCATTGCGGTTATCAGAGAGAGAATCCATGAGGAAGACAATGTTTCAGAAAGCTTCTAATTCCGGCTAGTCAGTGTCTAAGATAGTAAGATTGCTGAGTTTGAACGTCAAAACTCATGAATTAGAAAGACAAACAAAGCCTGGTAGTGAAGTTTTTATCCCTAGGTTGTCTGGTTATCTGGCTTAATTTGTCAAGTGTCTTACTTCGACAAAACTAAAGTTCTAGATTCCTCATTCCTATGATGCAAAGAGATTCTGATTGGATGGTCTCTGTTAAACCTTGCTTGTAATCACAGTTTTAGGTTGAACTCTTCCATTTTAGGTAGCAGCTCCTAGGGAGACATTGGGTAGTGCAGCAGCTGAGCTTCAAATTCGTAAACCTACCCGTGTAGGTAAACACTGGTTCCTTCTAGTAATGGCTTCAGTTCATTGCACACCAGCCTTATTCTTTCCACAGCAAGGTTTACTATCCAATCTTGAATACTAATTTCAGGAATTGATCTGCCATTTGAGATGGATGGTGCTGAAGCTTTCTTGACGCAACCCGATGGCTCGTTATTCAGCTGGTTTGAGAGATTCCGGTGCTATCAACATCTTATATATGGGATTGTATGTTTTGTCTGTACAAATCGACCTTTTAGGAGTTCCTCTCGGGTTAAATTGATTATATGTTGTGACGCATCGGTATTCAACTTTTGTACTACAGGTAAACAATTGTTCTTCTGACATTACACTGAGACTTAGTGGCAGAGAGTTTCGATGGGCGGTAGGGGAATCATTAGTTCGAAGACTGGAATCTGAGGGTGTCATTAAACAAGTCTTTCCTCTTCATGGTATGTTGTTCTATATCAGAAATTTTTGCTATGATCTCAAATTCTCAAGCAAGAACATATATATCTGTCATAGATGAATTGAAGAGGAAAGAACTTCTCCGAACTTGGGCATTCGATTGGTTGGACTTCACGCATCAACCGATTGATCAGATATATTCATACTTCGGTGCAAAGGTATGCCAACAGATACATCTAATCTTGATTTGCTTCTTACTACAGAAAAACAAAAACACAAGATTTTGACATGAAATGTAATGTATGGATTGAATAATTACAGATTGGAGTCTACTTTTCATTCCTTGGAATGTATACTCGATGGATGATATTTCCAGCTGTAGTTGGTTTCATAGTGCAAATGGTTGATTTCGGGTAAGCTTCCATTTCCGTTTTTAAGCATTTTATATAAAATGTACCGGTACTTTGGTATATTTGTCATGCCAAGTTTGGTTTCTTTTTGTTTTTCTTTGACCAGATACTTGCAGTTTCTTGTTTTACCGATCTTCTTTATAAGTATAATACTTTGGGCTGCCTTGCTGCTTCAGTTCTGGAAACGTAAAAACGCTGCCTTGTTGGCTAGGTACCATCCTCTTATGTAAAAACACTATAGTTTATAATCTATATTCTGCATATTTTTGTTATTTGAGCTTTGATACTGACTCTCTTCCCGTTTATTCCGTAACCTGTTTGCATAGATGGCATATCAATCATACAATTGGCCCGAGTCAAGGCTACAAATTTCTCGGGATGGAGTGGAGTTCCCTTCCATGTCCCAAGGAACTTATAAAAAAGCTCGGAAACGAGAAAACCAGAGAGAAGGAAGCGTATCAAAGATACGAATGGTTTGCATATTTCAAGAGGTTTAGAAACGATGTTATTGTCATCTTAAGCATTATCTGCCTCCAGTTACCGTTTGAATTGGCATATGCTCATCTTTACGAGGTTATCACCTCCGATATACTCAAGTAAGATTCGTCTCTCTTTTATTACGGGTTTCAAATAAGCTTTTTTGTATATTTCCAGAGTATAGACAATTGATATCCCTTTCTAGAGTATGCACAATCAGTGGCTATATGACCATTGTTCACTGTGGTTTTTTCAGATTTGTGTTAACGGTTATCTATCTGCTAATCATCGAATACTTCAACCGGTTCGGGGGCAAGATATCTGTTAAGCTGATTAACCGCGAGATCAACGAGAATGCGGAATATCGAGCTAATAGCTTGATTTACAAGGTAAATACTGTTCTCGAGTAACTCAGTTTTGCCCGTTTTTCATCATTGCTAAGGAAGATTTCTGTTTTTTGCAGGTTTTCGGACTCTATTTTATGCAGACATACATCGGGATCTTCTACCACGTTCTTTTGCATCGGAACTTTAAAACCCTTCGACAAGTCTTGATCCAACGGTTAATAATCTCACAGGTAACGGGTGGATGTGGAGATTTATTGTATAGTTTTCCTTGAAAAATATCGAAGCTGACATTAACTGTAACTTAAAATTTTTCTGCAGGTTTTCTGGACATTGATGGATGGTTCTTTGCCTTACTTAAAATACAGTTACAGGAAGTACAGAGTCAGGTATACCGGTTATTTCAACGTAACTTCTGTATGCTTATTATCAGAACTTTTAGTGAAAATCCGTAACTACATATATTTCCAGGAAGAAGAAGAAAAAGGAAACCGGGTCATCGATGGGAAAGATACAGTTTAACTCTAGGGTTGAAAAGGAATACCTCAAACCTGCATATTCAGCTAGCATCGGTGCTGAACTTGAAGACGGTCTTTTTGACGGTAATGTACTAATGAAATTGTTGCCCATCATTTATCTCCAATATTTATGTATATATACATATACATGCATGCTAACATTTACCCGTATGCATGTATATCCGTGAATGTGAATGTTATCTGAAAGCAGAAATCTGAAACATGTTTGCAGATTTCCTTGAGTTGGCATTGCAATTTGGAATGATCATGATGTTCGCTTGTGCATTCCCGCTTGCTTTTGTCATTGCAACGGTGGTAAAGAATCCATTTTTTCTATTCCTCTTCGCTTGATTGTTATATTCTTTGATCCCGTCTAAAAAACACGAACTTTATGGGCAGAACAACGTAATGGGGATTAGAACGAAAGCTCTGAAGCTACTTGTCACGTTGAGAAGACCTGTTCCTCGGGCTGCTGCTACAATTGGAGCCTGGTTAAACATATGTCAGGTACTTTACCCATATCGGTTAGTCCAACATTGAAAAAATGGTAAAATTATTTGGGCATCGGGTGTGTTAGTTTCGATTTTTTTTTTTGTCTCACTGCACGTTTTCTCATCTTTTGCGGTAATCTCAGTTCCTAATAGTGATGTCGATATGCACAAACTCGGCGCTTTTGGTATGCTTATACGATCGAGAAGGAAAATGGAAGATCGAACCCGGGCTTGCAGCTATTCTCCTCATTGAGCATATTCTCCTGCTTCTGAAATTCGGGCTCTCTCGTCTCGTCCCTGAGGTACAGTACTATCTTGTCCTACTCGTTGCATATGCAAAAAACGTCATGGATCACCAGAAGATGGATGTTTTTACTCGTTACATTGCGAAAAAACATCATGGGTGGCCAAAAAGACGAGATTTTTTTTACTCGTTACATTGCGAAGAACATCATAGATCACTAAAAAGATGAGATCTTTTTACTCATTACATATACTCCATTGCAAATAACACCACGGGTCGCCAAAAAGACAAGGTTTTTTTACTCGGTACATGGCGAAAAACTTCATGGATCGCCGAAAGGTGAACTTTTTTTTGCATGTTCCATATATTCCATTGGGAAAAACTTCATGGGTCACCAAAAAGATGGGATTTTTTTACTCGTTACACTGCGAAAACATCATGGATCACCAAAAGATAGATTTTTGTGTGTGTGTGTGGGTATCGTCTTGTGGCGGACGAATGATGAATTTGATATCAGGAGCCTGCATGGGTGAGAGCGAGTCGGGTGAAGAACGTAACGCAGGCGCAAGACATGTACTCTAAACAGCTCTTGAGAACCATTTCTGGTGAAATATCCTCTGTCAAGAAGAAATCCGAGTGAAGATGAAAGCGAGAAGCAGTTTTTGAAGAAGAAATCTGCAAAAGGATCTGTAGATTTCTTACAGACTTGTGTGCCTGTGTTTGGGTTTATCAATTGTGCATATTACAATGGCAGTTTTTGAATCTTATGTCATCTTGTCTGAAACTGCAGTTTTTGAATCTTATTTTGTCTGTATGTGCTTTGGTTTACACGACGATGAGCAAATACGTCCTATTTTGGGAATGATGTTAGAGATGAGAGGCTTGACAAGAGAGATTATCATTATCAGTATTTGGGGTGGGTATATCATCTTCTAATATTTGAAAAGGACAAATACCGTGATTTTGTATAAAAATTTCAAATAAATACAAGAATTTTAAAATTTTAAAATAAATAAATAAATTGTTACTAATTTATATATTAAACTCTCATTTTTTAAAATAATATCATTAATTTTTAAATAACTTCCAAAAATTATCATAAAATTAAACTATGCATTTTAAAATGATTTCTAAATAACACCGTAATATAATGACTTTTGAAAACAGTTTAAAAATTTAAGTTTTAACGTAGTCGTTAAGAAAAATTCCTATATTTTTTTCTTCTGAAAATTTTAAAGTTTGGTGTATGAAATGATTTACAAATTATTACAGCTAATATATTTATATTGTTGAAAACGAAAGATAAAAAGAACAGTGGAATACTAAAGAGAAAGAGAGTATGAATGAGAGGAATAAAAATTTCTCAATGTCTATATATAATGAAACTGAAGATGAATAGAGATAGAGGATCATACATTACCTTTTATATGATTTTATATATCTATATCAGCAGAGTATCGTGTTGATAACATATTGAAAACGAAAGATAAAAAGTAATAATGGAACATTAAAAAGAAAAAGAGTATGAAAGAGAGAAATAAATTTTTTTTTTCGTATTTCGTATGTTATAAATATAATACATCACTCACATATTTATAGATGGATATAAGGAATTTCTTCGTACTGATGAAAAGTTAGTTTCTCTATATCAAAGAAAAGTCAGCTTCTTCGTAGTGAAGAAGATGCAACTTCTTCATAGCGAAGAATATACAACTTTTTCATAGCAATTTTTTCATAGTGAAGAAGATATAACTTCTTCATAGTAAAGCTAGATAACACTATATATTTATTTATATGTTTATAATATATATTAATATTTATGTTATTAGTCGTGGGTTATCATCTGTTAATATTTGGAAAATATAGGAGTACCATCTATTTATAATAATAACATGCAAAACAGTTACCAGAAAAAAAAATTATTATGCAAAACAATTGAATTAGTTTACTTATCATTTTTATTCATGAACTGCGTGCCATGCACATAACATAAGTAGCATATAAAAAACGCACCTTCCGCATTCAGCCAAATATGTAGATGCCCAATAAAAATATCCTCAGCCACTAATATATGCCTGTCATGAAATGATACATCACCGCCTGTAACGCTGTGAAATACCCAATATATCATCAGGACAAAACATTATAGTATTAGACATAACTATTTAAGTACTGGATTTGTTTCATTTCGGTCATTTTAGTCCCGGAAAAAAAACATTAAAGTGAAATTCCCGATTTTCTCATTTTAGAGAGAGAAAAAAGGTGGTGTTTTTTTACTCTCGTTTCTTTAATTTTCTGGAGAGAGAATTCGCAAATTCCCATTTTCTAGAGAGAGAGAAAGGGGACGAAATTATCATCATCGATCAATTGCTTCTTCAATCGGCCAAAATCCATGTACAAAACGGAATATTGGAATGTGAATCGAAGAAGATGATTATGGCGATGATGCGATCTTTGATTCTGTGATTGAGATTTGGAAGCTCGTATTTCTCTTCTCGAAGTTCGGATTTTATTTTGCAGCCCTTTTCTCGGATTAATCTTCGGAAAAAATGAACGGTGGTGGTGATGATGACGCCGCCGCCGCCGCAGTCTCCGGTGGGAGCGGTCCTCCTCCGTCTTTGGAGTGGCGATTCTCGCAGGTCTTCGGCGAGCGAGCCGCCGGAGAAGAAGTTCAGGAAGGTAATCTCTCGCGTTTGCGTGGTAGATTGCGAAATAGAGTACGATGATGAGCTTTTCTTCCCCTTGTCATTAGATCCGAAAGATATGATAGGAACTCGTGGTTTGATTTGCGGTTTGGATCTGGGTTAGATCATGGATTAGTGAGAAATTCCTCTACTGTCGAGTGGGCCATTGATGAATTCGTGAATTCGATTCAGGGGTTTCCGTGTTTTCGTATAGCAGCTAGCTAAGATTTGCATTTTCAGAAGTGTAGTTGGGCCCTGTAAACAGGTCATACAACATTTCCATGTTGTATGGACAAGTGACGGGTACTTTGGATCTCTTCAAGAATGTCCCTATTGTTGTTGTTGTTGTTCTTTGACGACGAATCTGCAGGGGTTTGGAATACCATTCATAGTTGGAATATGACTTAGGAGTTTGATTTAGCTCGAAACTTCTATTTGTTAAACACTTTGGGCGTTGTTTTCGATGGCTAGAATGTGTGCTTGACATTGTTATCTGGTAAAGAAAACATGTGGGATCGCCGGGCTAGTTGATCAATGTTTGCTGATGGTTATACAGATTGTAGCGGTGAATGAAAATTATGATATTGAGTTGGTGCAGTGGATAGTTTCTTTTGAGTGGTGAGCAAATGGCCTGAAACGTTAAATTTTCGCTTTTGCAACTGTTAGTACATGATCCAAATTTCCTTAGTTGAATATGGTATAAATGCTATTGCCAAGGGGTATTACAGCAGTTAGGAGACACACACTCAATACCTTATCACCCTGCTTTGTCTAATGTATCTGCAAATCCATTCTGCTTGTTTGCCTGCTATATGTACCGTGGTTAGCATATCTGAATGACTTGTTTTCATCGATGAAAGAACAAGTCATGTGCATTTTGAATTCATAGCCATATGTAGCCTCTGCCTTATAGTTATTTCTTTGGATGGATAATAATTCTGTCTATATTTTTGCAGTTGATATTATTTCTGCAATTGAATTTGATAAAAGTGGAGACCACCTTGCAACTGGTGACCGTGGGGGCCGAGTGGTTCTGTTCGAGAGGACAGATATGAAAGATGTATGTTCCTTCATCTTTTACTAGGTTTACATGGATTTTCTTATGGTATTTGTTTTGTGTTGTAAAGCATTCCTTTTTGTATGATATTTATAGCATGGCGGGTCAAGGAGGGATCTTGAGAGGGCAGATTATGCTGTTAGACATCCCGAGTTTCGTTATAAAACAGAATTCCAGAGTCACGAACCTGAGGTATCCAGTATAATTTTTCACCAAATTTTATTCACCAGTGACCCTGTCACTCGTGCTTGAAATGATCCCTTGCTCTTTGTTCACTTTCAGTTCGACTATCTAAAGAGTTTGGAGATAGAAGAGAAAATCAACAAAATCAGATGGTGTCAGCCAGCAAATGGCTCATTGTTTCTTCTTTCCACAAATGATAAGACAATAAAATTCTGGAAGGTGAAAGAAACAGGGCATTCTTCTTATCTTTTCTTTTTTTTTCCCCTCCAAAATTTTAAGGCCGTTATAAAAACAGTTTGCTGCCTGTCTGATTCAGAACTGTAATCTGGTATTCATATGTTGCCTTATAAATGTTTGGTTCCTCCACCTTATTGCTTTGGTATAAAACAGATTCAAGAGAAGAAGATCAAGAAAGTCAGCGATATGAATGTCGATCCATCCAAGACCGTGGGAAACGGCAGTCTAGCAAGTTCAAGTAACTCAAGTAGCCCAACTCAGTTTGTTGCTAATGGACTATATGCAGATGGAGCACATGGTTATCTGAGCAATGACTTCTCTTTCCCTCCAGGAGGAATCCCATCTCTGCGTTTGCCTGTGGTAGTTGTAATCAATTCAATATTTGTCTTCTCTTTCTTTTTACTCTTTTTTGAAAAGAACCTAAGTTTTTAGGTTCAAAGTTTCTAAGAACAAGATAACTGTATAATCTCCTGCTTGTCTAGTATTTGTATGATGCCTTTTTAGTTTTCCTTCCTGTTAGAAAGTTGTCAATATTCTATTTGATAGATCCGCCACCCCTTGAAGTTGCATATTTACCACTTTCATCGTGATGATGGGTCATCGTACATCATTGTGGCTACTTGTTTTGTGAAGATTATCGGAGGTTTCTTAGGTGGCATGTGGTCTCCTGTTGTCTTTACTGAAGCTTGATACTGAGTGCTAGCTAAATATCATATATTAGATGGTTGATCATTTATTTGCACTAATGCATGTTTCTGCAATATTTAGGTAACTAGCCAGGAAACCAGCCTTGCGGCCAGATGCCGGAGAGTTTATGCTCATGCTCATGATTATCATATCAATTCAATCTCAAATAGCAGGTACACTTCTGCTTTCTATTATTAAAAAAAAAAATCCCCCGCTAATCCATGAAGTTTGGAGGCAATTGTTAGGACAGGAAAAAAAATTATAGTATTTCTGTAGAAATGCCATTTTTCTGGATTTTTTTGTATGAATAATCTTTTTGTGGAAGTTTTTATTCTATCCTTAAATTCGCTACTTGCACGTACATTATCTTTTTCTTCCCGGTGATTATAATTTTTCATCTATGATGTTGCAGTGATGGAGAAACATTTATTTCAGCGGATGATCTGAGAATAAACCTCTGGAATTTGGAAATCAGCAACCAGAGCTTCAATATTGTTGACGTTAAGCCTGCAAACATGGAGGATCTAACCGGTGTGTGTTTTCTTCTCCCGTCCCCTCTTTTCTTTTTATCTAAAAAAAGGTGTTATCTAAAACAGTTTAACACATTCATATGTCTGCAACTGTGTTTATTCATATGTTACATGTAACCTTAAATGATGTAACTGTCAAGCCAGTTTGGCCATGCATCTGCTCTATAGCATTGTTGTTTTCAATTTCTCGGCCTGCTTGTTTTTTTCTCTTTTTGATTTTAGTCTTAGCCAAACTCGGACACAGTGTACATTACAGAGTCATGTTTTTTCTCCTTTAAAGTCTTAATATGAGCAAAATACTGATTATTACATATATCTGCAGAGGTAATTACATCAGCCGAATTTCATCCAATACATTGTAATATGCTCGCGTATAGCAGTTCAAAAGGATCCATTCGTCTGATTGATCTGCGGCAATCAGCTTTATGTGATACTCATGCCAAATTGTAAGTAGTGATTTTCCTCCTTTTTTTCATCATTTTTTCGGGAAAGACTCTTGGCAATATGTCGAATAAAGGAGGAGAAAAACTAGTGAGAATTTTAATCGCAATCTTTAGTTTATCTTGTCGTTATGAATAACGTTTCAGGTCTCTGACTGTAGTTATTCCATGTCGCAGATTTGAAGAGCCAGAAGCACCTGGTTCAAGATCATTCTTCACAGAGATAATTGCCTCAATCTCGGATATTAAATTCTCAAAGGATGGAAGATACGTACTTAGTCGCGATTACATGACGCTCAAGGTTCGGAATTGTGTGATATTGTCTCCATTTCGTGCTGTGTTTCCTCCTTTTATACAATGACATTAAACTATCCTTTTTTCGAGTGTCTTTTATAAAAGTCTTATATTGCTGCTATTATATCGTTGGTGTTTGGTTCAGTCTTCTAAAGGAGTTGGATACAGATTATGATAAATAAATCTCTAGTGTTTCGATTTTTATCTGATCTTATCAACTTTTTCAGCTGTGGGACATAAATATGGATTCTGGTCCAGTAGCAACTTACCAGGTTCATGAACACTTGAGACCAAAGGTGAGTTTTTTTTTCCGGTCTTCTTCTCATGCCGCTGATGATTTTCATTCAAAGGCTAATCGTTAAACTCTTTCCGTTGTTTCAGCTCTGTGATTTATATGAAAACGACTCGATCTTTGATAAATTCGAGTGTTGTCTAAGTGGTGATGGATTGCGGGTAGCGTCGGGTTCTTACAGGTTTTGTTTTCTTCCGGAAACATAGTTTGTCCATGTGCAATAATGCTTCTCTATTTTCATGTGAGATGGACAATAACAAAGTATTATCGTAAATTCTGTCTGAACCAGCAATCTGTTCCGCGTATTTGGAGTTGCTCCAGGAAGTACTGAAGCGACAACTTTGGAGGCGAGCAAAAACCCGATGAGGTATATGTTACATACAAGGGACCACATCTCTGAGAACACTGATAGTTAACAGAAGTAGTTATTTAACTGGTCTATGTTACAAAGGACAACATCTCCTAGAACATTGATAGTTAACAGAAAGTAGTAGTTATTTAACTGATTGTCCGAACTTCTGCTGCATGTTTACAGGAGGCAAGTTCAAACACCTTCGAGACCTTCGAGATCCCTCAGCAGTATAACACGTGTAGTAAGACGGGGTTAGTAATCTAAAAAACCCGCATCAAAAGCTTCGAATGCTCGGAATTATTATTATTTTTTTCTGTTTCTTTTTCTCAATCGTGTTTTCTCAATCGTGAAAAACAGGATCAGAAAGTCCCGGGTCGGATGCAAATGGAAACGCATTCGATTTCACAACGAAGTTGCTGCACCTGGCATGGCACCCGACCGAGAATTCCATAGCCTGTGCCGCTGCAAACAGCTTGTACATGTACTACGCATGAGGAGAAGCTCGATGCACGGGAAAAAAAAAAACACGGTTTGCTCTGCTTCGTTAACATCCTTTTAATCCTTTTTTCGGGTTTTACTTCCCTTCCCTCCTTTTACCCTCAAAGACTAAAGAAAAAAAAAAGAGTTTGGGGAGGAAAAAAAACAAAGAACTAAAGTACGTACGGAAGTACGGTTCCCTCTTTAAGACATGTAACCAGAAGATGTAGTAACAGAAGCTGTGGCGGTGACAAAGTGAGGCCATGACTGTCCGAACCGCAAATCTTATTAACGAGGAAGATGCGAAATCTCGTCCGTTGAGGCAAAGATTCATCAGCTCCCCTTCCCCTCTTTTTTTTTTTTTTTGTGTTTTTTGTTATCTGTTTTGATCAACGATATCTCGGAGAATTAGAAGATGAAAATGTGTTGATTGTAGTCTAAATCCTCCAACAACAAAGAACAACAAAAAAAGACCTTTTTTTTTACAGAAGGTAATGTCTAATGATATTTATTGGATTCCCTCGACCTTTGGTGTTTTTTTTTTTAACAGTAGGGGATGATGATGATGATGATGATGATGATATTACAATTTACAGCATGTTCTTATTGAGAACATTATGTGGGATCTGTGGTGCAATTTGAAGTGTGACATGAGGGTTTGACTATTAACCGATATTTTGGTTTCGACTATATAAAAAAAAACGAAATAAATATAATTTTTACAAAACCAAAATAGAATCCGAAAAACTAGAGAGTGGACAGACGATGCATGAGGGAGTCCACTATGGCCTTATATATGTATATACACAAAAATAGATCGGTCCACGTGATTCCACTCTCGAAAGTTTATGACTTTAATGAAAAATTTTGTATTTACTATTTGGAGTATTTTTCTCATTTTATTCATTTTGAAATGGTGTTGTTTAAGAGAGATGAATTATTTCGGATATTAATTCAAAGGTTGGTATCCTTTGAAAAAATTGACGTGAATTTTTTTTTCAAATAAAAGATGAATTTACAATCTAAAAATGAATAGAAAAGATACGGTAAAATTTACGGAAGAGTAATCTATTGAATTTTAGAAATTTAGAAACCACGATTCCTATAAATTTTCATGTAAGATATTTTTCCTTTCTTTAGTTTTAAGATTTACATTTTTACATAATCACTGATGGAAATTTTATTAAAAAAACAACTTTATCTCTCAAAATATATATAAAAAAACCGATATTTTTCTTTCGATATTTTTATCATGATTACAAATATCAACTGTTTAATTATTTTTTGTAATATATATATATATATATATGGTTATATGAATATTAAAATATCTAATCGCACAAGTGATGAGTTATGGGATGAGCTAATCAATCAGCTTAGTTTTCGGGTCAAAGATATGGTTCTTTTATTTCGTCATATCTTTAAAAGAAAATACTGTTTACCTTTTTGTTTAATGGAAATTCCTTTTTGGAATGGTGAAGAAAGATACTTTATTAAGTGGACAACATTAAATTAATTTTTTGCTGATTTTTTGTTAACAAATAAATGTTACAATTTAAGAAAAATTATCAGGATATTAAATAAAAAAGAAATTAAAACAAAAGTTGTGTACTACTGTTTGTTTCCACAAATGGAATCCAAGTAAAAACCCATATTTGCGATCCCATCTATCTATCAAATAATAGAGGTCGGATTTCAATCATATCTTCGGGTTCTTTAAATTTTATTAAATTTTATTAAGTTTTATTTATTTTTAGCTCGATCATTTTCATTTTAGAAAATAATGTTCTTTTTAGATTGAATTCAATTAAAAATGATTATTATATATTACTGTTCTTTTTAGATTGAATTCGATTAAGAAATATTATTATTATTATTATTATTATTATTATTAATATTATTATTATTATTACTATTGGATTCTATTTAATTATGATCTATATATATATAATTTAAATATTTATTTTATAAAATAATAGTATAGTAGTTTTTTCCTGAATCGAATTGACCGTTGTTGCAAACGTTTTTGTATTGGAAGGCGTTAAAATATGAAGTTTTAATTTGTTGGTAATATATATCTATATATTTATATAAAGATTAAATTCTAACTATTATTATATAGATTAAAATGAAAAAAAAAGAATTTGATAAAAGAAAAGTATAGAAATTTGATTTGTATTAACTATTAGAGATATATACGAATCCTTGATATTTTATTAATTGAGATATATATTATGGATATATTTTCGTTATAAGTATATTTTAGTTATTTAGTTTCCTATTAAAATTATGTTTACTCTACATCTATGTCTATATATATATATATATATATATATATATATTATTTGGTTAAATGAAGAATACAATAAGATTTTATTGTACAAATCTTGATGTAGTATCATCATATAATTTTATTGATTTTTTTAAAAAAAATGGTTACTATTTATCTTTCTATGAGATTAGTAGATTTTTATATCATCGCGCGCGAATACTATAGTAAAATAATATTAGCAGATTTTGTTATTTTTTACTTTATTGTGAAACAAATTGTCAAATCATTAGCGGACGATTTTCACTTGTATACATATTATTAGAAAATATATTTAATTTTGTATAAAACAATAAATTTTAAAGTAATGGAGCTTTTACTGTTGATTTTTAAAGAGACCAATTTAAACTAATTAAATTTAATTGAATATGGAAATGAGGGAAATTTTTCAGAAAAAATCTATAATTTTGATAAAAAATTGAATCAAAAAATATTTTTAAAAAATCTAAATATGAAAATAATTAATTAAAAAAATAAAACCAGGATATCAACTGCTTTTTTGCAATGCACAACTTGGCCTCTCTCTCTATGTACAAATAAGAAAGCCGGTGAACGAATAGGCACGATGTAAGGGTTGATGGACGTTAAAAGAAATAAGACAGCAACCCAAATTTTAAAAATAAAAAATAAAGTCTATCATAATTATGAATATAAAGTGAAAACAGAAAGCAACTAGAGATATATTAAAAGACGAAAACATAAAAATAAATAAAAAGCAAAAAAGGGATGCAAATAAACTCTTGGATTGTGAGAAATGAGTCATCAATCCTTATTATTGTTTTTTCGTCGCATTCGATAGACAATTCTAATAAGAAATGGGTATATTTTAACATTATCGTTCCAATAATATTTTCAAAAGCGCAATTATACTATATATATATATATATATAAACTTTTTATGACAAAGCAAGAATTAAAAAAATATATTTTCGAAAGTTCTAATAAATTTTTTTAATATAAATATTAGAATGAACATGAAAAGAATACTATTCAATTTCAAGAATATTTGTTACAAAAGAAGTGTAATTCTCAAATTCCGTGAATTAGGTGTCCATTTTTATACGAATTGGATGTTAATTGCGTGTGCGCATCAAATTTTATTCCTTCTTTTTTTTTTTTAGAAAGAAAAGGAAGAAGAACAAAACTCGCCCCATGCTGCGAATAGTTACACGTTTGGTGAATTAGCATTACATTCTTCTCTTAGGAAAATGGCCAATGAATATAATATATATATTTTCTGCATTATAATTTATAAATCATGAAACATTTTTTTTCTAGCGATTTATTATAATATATATTTCTCTAACAAATAAATTTACTGTCATATAATAAACCATGGAAATCATGTGATCGGTCCTAAATAGAAAAGTATTGAATAAACGCCAATACATATTTCTAATTGAGTTTCCATTATTATTTTTTTTGTTGGATATATCTTATTTCTAATATATATATATATTATTTTTAAATATAAAAAGAAAAAAGAGAGTTCGTAATGGAATTCAATTTACATACTGAACATGATTGAAACGAGTTAACCAACTTCGCAACTATACGGAATAGAATTCAGGAGATTCTCCCGAATATTCTTCTTGTCACCCGCGTTTCCTTCTCCTTTCCGAATTGCACCCAAATGTTTCAAAAGGTGCAAATTAAACCCCAAAAATCACTACAACAACCCCTCTACACCGTCCGATCAACTCATTGACCCACGAAAGTAATCAAATCCAACGGTCATAATACACTTAACTAAACAAGGACAAGGATTTAGGAATAAACCAGGGGAATAATATTCCATTAGCGTCAATAGTAATGAACCTCCTCCACTTGTATAAATACCACAATCCCCTTGCACTTGACTCAAAGCCCACACAGATTCGTCAGGAAGAACCCTAAACCCAGAGAGTTTTCCTTCTTCCTTCTCAGAGAGATGGCTGAAATCAACGACAGGAGGAAGGACATTGTCGTGATCTTCGACTTCGACAAGACAATCATCGACGTCGACAGTGATAACTGGGTCCTCGATGAATTGGGTTTCACTGATTTGTTCAATCAGCTTCTCCCCTCAATGCCTTGGAACTCTCTCATGGTGCTTCCTCCTTCTCTCCCTCTTGTTTTCTTTCCCGAAAACACGTTAATGTTGCATCTGGTTCCTGGGTTTTCTTAGACTTCTTGAACCGGAAAAGATTTTTCGTGATTTCGAACTGCGAATCCGGATCAAACCCATGATTTCTCTTGATCTTCTCTTGTTTTCATTGTCTGTTCGTCGAACAAATTCTGAATCACAACTTCTTTTGGGTTTCAGGATCGGATGATGGAGGAGCTTCGTGATGAAGACGTAACCATTGATGACGTGAAACGAGTCCTCAGAACGATTCCGATTCACCCTCGAGTCGTCCCTGCCATCAAATCAGCACATGCACTCGGGTAACTTGCATTTACTGCTATCTTCAATCATCGAGAGTGGTCGATCGATTTTCGGTCCGCTGAATCTGTAGAACAGAACCACAATTACTGATCCGAGATTTGTGGGTTGGTTTCAGATGCGAGCTGAGGATAGTGAGCGATGCGAACATGTTCTTCATCGAGACAGTCCTTGAACATCTCGGGATTAAAGATTTATTCTCTGAGATTAACACGAACCCAGGTTTCATCGACGAGCATGGCAGATTGAGGATCTCTCCTTACCATGACTTCACCAAATCCTCACATGGCTGCTCTCGTTGCCCTCCTAACATGTGCAAGGTATAATTTTTTTTTCTTTTTTTCTTTTTTTATTTGAATAATGTGACAGATCCGGATCATAAGATATGGTTTTATTCAAATAGCTCCAAGTGTTTCGGAATATATATTATATATGTCATTATCAGACAACGCATGTCCCATGCTAGATTTTGGTGGACCCATGTCTTTGTCTCTATTGTAAACCATGTTGTTTAAACAACTTTGGTATGTTCTAACATGATGTTTGTACAAAAAAAAAAAAAGGCTTTGGTCATTGAGAAGATTCAAGATTCTCTATCCAAAGAAGCGGAGAAGAAGAAGAAGATCATCTACCTGGGCGATGGAGCAGGAGATTACTGCCCGGCCCTAAAGCTCGACGATGTTGATTACATGATGCCGAGGAAGAACTATCCCGTGTGGGACCTGATCAGCGAGAACACCATGCTCATAAGTGCAAAGATCAGAGAATGGATCGACGGAGAAACATTGGAGAAGGTGTTGGTGGAGATCATCGAGGAGATTCACACGGAAGACGAAGAGGAAGAGAAGATCTTGGCATCGGAGAATTGCAAGATAACGGTGGGGAATGTTCATGAGGCACTGTCTCATGCTCTCCCGGTTCAAGTTCGTCAGCATTAGCCAATTAAAAAAAAAAAAACTTTTACATTTCAGATTTGTGTGTGATCGATCGAACAAGAACAGATTCTTGTTCGATTGATGTTGTTGTTTGATTAGTGAATCATGGCATTAAAAACTTGAATTTGACCTATTTTTTGTTTTGGATCACATTCATAATACTAAACAAATTATATAATTTTGTTTATATAAAATACAATAAATTATATGAAAAGACACCAGATTATATAATTCCGTTCACATAAAAACAACAAATGATATAATTTTTACAATTCAAATACAAATGACATATTTATAAATGTACTATATTAAGTTTTTTTCTTCTTCTAAGGAGGTTATGTAGGTGTAGCATTTTAAGATATATATATTTTTTTTATAAAGATTCGCTTAAATAGTACATGCAATTATAACGTGGAGTTCAAGCAATTCATTAAAGGCTTCACCTTTAACCAAACATCATTTGTACACTGTTAACCAAACAGGAAAGTTTTCACCTATATGCATATAATATATTTAATTTTGTATTAAAATAACAACCTTTAAACGTGATCGATTTTTTTTATGTTAAAGATGCTAATTTAAACAAATTAACTTTGAATTGGGTATGAAAAAAAAGGGGAAATAAAGTGAAAACAATTTTTCTAGATAAAAGCTAAAATATTTCAATTTTTAAACCAAAGAAATATAATTCGTAAAATTCCATGAACTTTTGCATTTCAAATTGTGCGATTGATTGAACAAGAGCAAATTTTTGTTTGATTAGTTAATTATGGCGTCGAGTCCACCACTCTTGTCTGTTGGTGTGGCGATTCCTCTACTTATAGTAGCGGCTTTGTAATTTTTAAAATTCCGATGAGTGATAATAATAATTATTTTTTTGGGTAAAACCTTAAAAAACCTCCAACTTGCAAAAATATATACAAATAAACCTTCAACTTGAAAAACTATCATTCAATCTCCGAACTTGTAACTTGTCACTGAATAAAACCTCGAACTTGCAAATTATTGCTCTAATAAACCTTTGACCGGTTTGACCACAATTTTAGACGATCGGAAATCTACGTATTAACGGATTGCTGATGTCACCTTATACACATTATCAATTTTAATTTAAAAAATGACATCAGCAATCCGTCAATACGTGGATTTCCGATCATTTGAAATTGTGGTCAAACCGGTCAAATATAATTATGTGGTGAGTTTTTTTGTTAATAAAAGGATAGATAAAGAAATAAAAATACGAGTTTAAATTTAAAATCATATAAAAATCAATACTAATGTTTAAAACTAGTTTCAATAGTAATCTTAGCGTGACCTTAGTGTATTAATAGTCTATAGTTGATCATACTCTCATTAGTGACTACACTTATGACGTGGAATATATAAGATTTGGAATATATTTTACCAAAAAAAAGATTTGGAATAGTTATTATTTAGGGTTTTTGGTTCCATTAGTTTCGAACTAGTATTTTCTGATTCTGAAAATTTTGAAAAAAAAAATTACAGACCTTCGTACGTCGAATTTGAATTCTATCCAGATTCATATTTTTTTAATATTTAAAAGAGATTTTTTCTGTTGTCTTTTATCTTTTTTATAGGATTTTTATCATTTAAAAATCAGTTTTCCTAGATAAAATTCAAATATTTGATTAACTTTAAAGTTTTTTTACACAGTCATCAAATTACCAAACACTATCTACAATTTATTGATTTTGTTGATTCAACCTTTTCTTTATTCACAAGAATATTTACTTCCCTTGTTCATTTATATAGGGTTTCGACTAGAATATCCATTTCCCAATTTTAATTAGAACAAATCATTTAAACCAAACAGAAAAAAAAACAACCTTAAAACGATAAAACTCTAAAAAAACAAATCCCTAAATTGGATTAAATTAGCATTTCTTCTGAATTTTTATCTCTTAAAATTAAAATAAACAAACTCAAACATATCTATTAACTATTTTACCATTAGAAATTAAAAAAAAAAAATCGTTTTATTCTCTTCTAAATAACTGAAAGATCTATTCGCACGTTCTCAGCAGAAACCCTTCCCTTCCTATCTCCCCTTGTCTTCAGCAGAAAATCAAGGACACCACTCTTTCAACTTAACCGACCAAGGCCATGCCCTCCGCCGCAAACTCCGGCGGCTCCACGCCGGTGTCCACCGTCACCTCCTCCGGAAACACATCCACGTCTCCGGCCTGCGCCGCCTGCAAGTACCAGAGGAAAAAGTGTTCAAAGAATTGCCTTCTCGCACCGCACTTTCCTCACGACAGACAGACACAGTTCATCAATGCTCATAAGCTGTTTGGTGTCAGTAACATCACCAAAATGATCAAAAACATGGAGGAATCTCAAAGGGTTTTGGCTATGAACAATCTTATCTTGGAGGCTGATATGCGAGCACGTGACCCGGTTGGTGGGATTTACAGGGTTGTGCATAATCTCCAGCAGCAAATCGAGAGTACAAAGGCTGATCTCGATCTCGTTCTTCAGCATCTGGCTCTGTTCCGAGGCAGGCCTCAAGAAACGAAAGAGATCTATCATGGTTATGGAAATCTTACAGAACAGCAATGGCATGTTTTGAATGATCAGAACATGCAAGATCAGTACATGCAACAGGGTTTTGTCATGGAGTGTACTTATGATCATTATGATAACAATGAGAAGAAGAAGCCTGTGGTAAAGGTTTCGAGTGATGAAATCCGCAAGCAGAAAGGGATTGCTAAAAGGAAATCAGATATGGGTTTGAACCAGCTTCTTATATCCTCCTAGGTGATTAAAGTGTAACTCTTTTTAGATTTAGTCGGTGTATTATCTGAACCCATGAGATCTAGTTTGGTTTTTCTACGACTAACAGTCCTTTCTTCTTTAAGGTTCTCTCTATGGTGAATTGGTAATCTGACATTATGTGAATACAAATACTCCTTATACTAGGGGTTCTTTACACCGAAAAGCTCATTTTCTTTCTGTAGAAGTATATGCAGGAAACGAAATTAGAAATCAAAATCGATGATTACCTTAAGTAGGTATACCTGAAACATGCCTGTGTTCTGAGAGTTTGGTTTAGCATCTTTCCAAAGGCGACACACTTCATCTCTCGCTCGGCCCACATGTCCGGATTCTCTTTGTATAAGTTCACATCAGGTGATTGTTTTTTCACATTACGACAAATCTAATCCTCAAGAACATGGTAGATGCTTGGTAACTCATTCTGCTCTCTCCCTCTCTCTCTCTCCCCCTTTATTGCCCCCGCTGAAAACACCTATTCCTTCTCCTTCACACCAATCAAACTGCTTCTGGCAACTTTCTTTAGATCCTTTGTCTTGGCCAAAGCCCTAATCTTTGCATACTCTTCCCATCTCCCACCTGCCAAGTAAATGTTAGACAACAACATATGCTTAGAGCTCTCTACCCCATGCCCACAAGGTTCTCCATCATTGTTTCAAATACTATATCCCCCTCACTGAGAAACCCATGTTTTGTGTACAAGCTAACCAATCCACTCTGATTCAGAATGTTATCACTCATCAAGGTTCGGATTGCATGTCCATGAACTTCTCTTCCGAGACTCAAATCCGTCAGCTCTGCACAAGTGGATGGAATATAACAAAAAGCCGTAGCATTGGACAATACTTTGGAAAATTGCATTCTTCAGAAAATACAGTAAAAACCTCATGAACTATACCGGCTTTGACAAACGATGTCGTCAACGAAGTCCAGCCCTCTATACCTCCTGTTTCCTCTTCCTCGGAACAATTGTTCAACATATTCTACTTATCAATCAGCTCATTCTTCGAGAGCAAGTAATCTTTGAAACCATTTTTTTGTAGCGTGCCCGTGAAACTTTTCAGCACAAACAGAGAGGAAAAAGGCAAGAGCTTCACCAATGGCTGCAATTTCTCTCATTGGCATCATATAAAAAGTACTTGATAACTTCTTCATGCCGTCCACATGAACAGAGAAAATAACAATGAAGTCCAAGTCGCTTCATTTGGCTCGAATCCTTCTTCTGATTGCATCCATTACAGCACTTTCACGACCACAAATCAGGGCAAACCCCGATATCATAGAATTCCACGAAATCTCGTCTCTCACAGACATTTTAACAAACAACTTGTAGGCGTCTGTCCGTCATCTGCCCCATATTCGAGTACATCGTCGGCTATTCGTTCACCGCGTGAAGATTATCTCGAGAACCTGTCGGAAAAACATGATTAAGCAAAGCCCTGCGCGAATCATAACGAGCCAAGAACACAGAAGCCCGACGGATCAAACGGAAAGTAAACCCATCACCAAGAACACCTCGCTTACATATATTTCAACGTCGAGCTCAAGGCATTCTCGTACGATGCATAAGACACGTGAGCTCTCAGGATTCAGTTGCACAAGAGCGAGTCCGAATGAACAAGAGATGATATTACAGTCTCAGGCACTTTACGGGGATCGAGAGGGAGACCCGATACGAATCTCGCAGCGAATGATCCAGAACGGCTAAAATCATGTCGGAGACGATAACTTGGGTGTGGATTTGGCGACATTGATGAACCGTTAAGCATCGCTGAAGGACTTGATCCAAGAAATACAGGAGACTCTTATCAATGAAGAAGGAGCAACTCAAGAAACGGAAACGATCGCAAGAACGTCAAGTTTTAAAAATCAGAATTATAAATTAATTACTTGATTAATATGAAATTATTTATATATAAATTCGTGATTAGCTGTGAATTTAAATTGAAATTAAAATTTTCAAAATTTCTATAATAGTTTTTGGTGTAGTTTTAAATATTTTAAAATTAAACAATATAAATCGAGCTGTAATTGTTTTTATTAAAATAAAGAAATATCGATGAAATTAAAAAATTATAGGTATTAGGTCTGGATATGAACCGCCAAAGTCAACATGCGCAACTTGATGGCATGTGGTCACATGGTTTTCTGTAAATATTATTGACTCGTAGAGACTTTGAAAACAAAAGCAGATAATTAGCAGTTTAATATCTTTTTAATTTATGTACAGATACTAATCAAGCATTGCACTAGATTTAAATATGTTTCAAATATCATTATATATATAATTCGTATATATTTATGAATAAAAAAAAGTTTATTTTGATCATCATTTTTATTTTTTCTTCGAAACTATCAAACTAGTATACATTTTTACAATGTTAGTTCTATATAAAACTTGTGTTTAATTAATGTATGGCAAAACTATATTCAGCCACTCATCGTCGGTCGTATTTTTTTTTCATATAATTCGAAGGAATATGTAAATATTAATAGACAAACATACTAAACTTAAATTCTTCATTACAAAAAAAAAGTCAATAATACAAAAGCGAACTAATTTAGAGAGAGAGAGAGTCACCGACACCTTCTTCATTGAACGTGATTCAATTTCAATGCATTAAAAATGTAAATGTGATAATTAATGTTTATTGTGTAAAAATTAGAATGATCAAATTTTACAAAATCTTTGAATCTAAAAAAATACATTTACCGTATGGGTATAGTTTTTTTTAAGTCGATTCAATTCATAACACAAGCAAAAATAATTAATTTTGAAATAATTTATTGAATGATAACGAAATGATCACAGGAAAACCCCCAAAAAAATAAAAATGAGATCGGTAAATCATAAATCAATCAATATATATTCCCATTTACGTAAAAAAAAAATATAAATCTTACAAGAACCGAAGACACTCTGTTGTTCAAAACAACAAAACATGAAATCAATAACGAAGTTGAAATCAAACCCTAAGCTGTAAGAAGAACTACGAATATAATAAATACTTTTTTTTACCTTAAATTGTAATTTTCCAAATCTTGAGCCTGAGATCGACCTTACACTTGACGCCGGAAGTATTCGCTGTCGTCGCCGTCTTCCCCGTCGGAGCTGTCACCTTGATTCCATCGCAGGTAACCCTAACCGCCGTTTTCGGAGTTTTCAGAGAACCCATCTTCACTCTCACCTTCGTATCCAGAACGATCTTCGTCTGCAACCCTTTCTTGCTCTTGATCTCGCCCTTCACCTTGTTCGCCGACAGTTCGTCGAGATCCTGTGTCGGGCTCCCGACGGAAACCTTGATCAGAGTCGTGTTCTTGGTCCCGTGAACAAACGCCGGGAAACTCCCGCGTCCTATGATGACGTCATCTTTGCCGGCGGTTGTGACGCTGATGGATGTGTCGTCGTAGAGGAATTCGACGTTCTTGTTAGGGTTTCTGGCGACGACGGCGAGGGAAATGGCGGTGGTGAGGTGAGTGGAGGAGGTGAAGTTGAGGGCGGAGATTTTGAGGGAGGAGACTGAGAAGCTTGGACGGTGGGGCCGGTAGATGAGGTAGACGACGGCGGCGGCGGCGGCAACGAGGAGGATGAGGAGGATGACTACGAAGATCGTCCAGCAACAGCACCGGCAGCAGCATCCGCGACTGTGGCGGCGG